GAGGCTATAATTTATGGTTGCAGAATTTATTTCAGGACTTGGAGTTATGGGTACCGTTTTCAGATTGCTGAAAATTTATACTGCAATTGTTGATCTTCTTGTATGAAAAATGATAAGTATTCTAAAGTTGAAATACTTTATCATTAAAGAAGATATTTAGAAATAACGAATGTCTATTGAAATTATAAGCACACAACTTATGATTGCAATCTATTAATGAATGGACTACCATCCAAGACATTTATGGAACATGTTGAAAGAATGGGTCTTAAATGTAGTCAATGATGATTATTTTTTAATTGTGGATTGCTTAAATATTGCTTATATATATTTGACATTTTGCGCTGATTAAATGTGTTTCTGATATTTCCTATTAATTAATGTACATGTACGTATTGTTTTAATAAGTGGTAATAGGAATAGTCTTGGAAAAGACATTATTATTAGATCATTATTGATACTTCTCATTTATAGACTATGTTGAATAGATTACTAGTGTTGTGGTACATGAAAGGGACTGTGTCATTTAAGGATATATAACCGCCATGACTCGTATTGGTAATTTATTTACCATGGTATTTATGATGACCAATTTAATGAGTTAATCTGATTTATGGTGCACGTTAATGACTATTTTACTAAACCACTACAGAAATTATCATATGTGCCAAATGGGAGAATGTAAGATTATTTATTTAATTGTAGCCCACATGATTTAGACATGTGACATATTATTTGGTAGGTAAGTAAATAGATATCAATTAATATTATTTATTTTTGGTCAACTTATAATTACCTTTTTGGTAATTACTTATTGGAGAAGTGTTTTCCTTTCTTATTCCTTAGTTTGATGGAAAGTAGAATTATGTTACTATAAGGAAAACTGGTCCTCTCTCTGCCTTTATAAAAGTGCATACACTCCATCAATTATATACAATTAATGATACAACACGTAAAAGTTTTATGTGTACAAAAGACCAAGAGAGAGAAACCAGTTTCCACCTTTGCCTGTTGATCAAAGTTGTAAATTAGTTCGTGGTTAAATGATCTAGAAGTTGGATTTAATCTCAACAAAGTTTGATATCATGAATCGAGGTATTTATATCTAACTATTTATTTATGCATTATAGATATGTGAAAATCATGAAGTTCTAAGATTATGGAATTCATGTTTATTTGTGATGAATGGTTTAACACGAATAATTATAGTTTACAATATTGACATACATAGCATACGAGTATACAAGTCCAAGTATACTAATCATTTTTGATATGTAAGGTGTACAAGTATACAAATCCAAGTATACTAAGCAAGAAATGAAGTATCATGCACCCAAGTACAAGTTAAAAGTAATCCACGTTTACAACCAAGAATTAAATGCGAAATCAACCAATGGCGGAAAGACAAAGGACATAAAGTCTCAATAACCAAGCAAGTGATTCCGGGTTACTAACTTGCAAGGTACTACCTAGTGCGCACTAAATTCGGAATAAAATCGTTATATTGGTGTTTTTGGGTTACTAAATCTCAGGGTACCACCCAGTACGCACTATATGATATAGAGGGAACTTTTATCCCCCGTACTAGAGCCATGTCCTAGCCGTAACAATTTCCAATATCCATACAAACTTTCCAAAAATCATCAAGTTGTGCAACAAGTATTTCACATATACACAATGCACAAAATCAATTACCATGCACAACCAAGTCATGGAATGCACATAAGCCATGCCCTAGGCATTCAAGCTACAATGACATATTAAATGTCATATAAGTAAAATGTGAATACTTACAAGTTAATCATAATTTCAACTCATGGAATACTATCATGTAATCATATAACGAGTTCTAAACTACAAATTAAGCAAATATACAACATCAATGCCTAATTACCTCAATTGAAGCATAAAAGGGAATTTGATTAACTTAAATAATTAAATTCTCAAGATTACAAAGTAACTCCAAAAATTTTTCAAATCAAATATGTCAAAGATTATATGAAGGTCTATTTTTATTTCATGATACAAGTTAATTCTACACTAGGCATCACTAAATGAATTAAATTTCATGCAAGATAATAATTAAATAAAGTGTTCAAAACTCATTCAATTATTCTCAATTTAAAGTATGTTAATGAACATATCAAGGCCTAATTTAAAACCACATTACAAGTTAATTATACACTAATTACAACTATGTAAATTAAACTCAATGCCAAGAAAATAAATAAATAAAGTTTTCAAAACTTATCCAAATATTCTCTATTTAATATATCTAATAGAACATACCAAGCTCATCAACAATATTAAGTTAAAAATCCAATTAAGTGAGTAGAACACTTAAAATAAAATAAATTAATCTAATTAATTAATTTTCTCTAGATTTTAAAACAACTTCAATTGCTCTCAAATTAACATAAGTTAAAGTACATACCAAGGCCTATTTTAATATCACATTACAAGTTGATTTCATGCAACTTACAACTATATGAATTAAATTTTCATTCAAGAAAATAATTAAATAAAAGTTTCAATATTTTTTCAAATAATCCCAATTTAATATATATTAATGAACATATCAATGCCTAATTTAATAGCATGCCACAATTTAATTCTAAGCTATATACATCCATGTGAATTAAATTTTATACAAAGAAATAATTAAATTAAATTTCTAGATTTAATACAAAGGCATGCAAACAAGTTGTACAAGTATGGCAAGCACTCAATACAACACATATATAATCCTAAAACATCCCCTACCTCACTTTGAGATAAAATCTCAAATCCCCACCGGAGGGAAACCGCTCCGAATCCAGCGATACTTCTAAGTTTTATCGAGGACTACGAGGGAAGCAATTTTAACCCTTGAGGCACTATGAAAATCCAAACCCGAACTCAAAAATGGTCGAAAATGGTTTCTAATAGGAGGGAAAGGACTGCCTCGCCAAGGCCTACGATAAACACTAAGGTACTAGGACATTATACCTAAGGGAAGAAGGTTGACTTGGGAAAAGAAGCGTGGCAGCCATGGAAGGGTAAGGAATCTGATTTGTAGCAGTGTAGAAGAAGGGGAAAATGAAATGTTTTAATTTTTCAAACCTCTTATTTATAATAAAAACCCTAAAAGTGCCTCGAAGGGGTCCTGCCGGATCTGAAAAAGTGAAATTTGCGTAGACACGCTCAAACGGTAAAACACCGTGAATGAAAAAGAATCGAAATGAAAAAAAATGAATAACAGAAGAAATGGCGTTGAAAACCGAGTCCCGTGTAGAAAGATATGCCCCGAACAAGTTCGGCGGCATAAAACTGGAGAAAACGACCGTGAGGAAATTCTAAGAATACACGACTCGAAGAAATGTGAAAATGAATCCCGTACATGGATCCAAGCTCAAAATGAGGCACATTGCAATAACTTTTATTAATTGCACAATGACCCCTCCAAGAAAGGAGATCTGCAAAATTGTCCAGAATGACAATATCTTCCAAAAGATATTTTCTTAAAAACTCCTGAAATAAAATATTTTCAAAAGATATTTACGAAAAATACCCCAAGAAATATCAATGTTTCTGAAGAATCTTTTCATTCATGCCCCTACGGGAGAAAGAAACAATTGGCGAACTTTTCTCCAAAAGTAAAGTTACGCGCTTCGAGGAAATCGACTGGAATGAAAACTCGTGAAGTCAAAACACAACTCCGAATACGAAAAGTGAGGTTATGCCAACAAAGTGGCAAACAAAAAAAAGACGAAAAGTGAATAGTGTCCAAAAAATGAAAATGTGAAAATGACTCAATCCTTAAAGAAACTTGTCAATTTTAAAAAAAGAGACTCGGAAACTATTTTCGAACATTGGAGACGACACTAAGTGATGAGTAACAGAATTCAGAAAAGAAAATTCAACGGAAAAAATTCATCCGTAAAATTTAAGAAAAATGAAAGGAAGAAAAATGACAGGGTAATTACAGTTATGAAGTCGTGTCCACGTCGTACTCGTGTTCTATTTTTTAAAAATTTGAAGTGTTGATGTATCCGTGTCGTATCGTGTCCATATCCGTGCTACATAAGTTTTTAATGATAAGTTTCTCTCTCTATATATTTGTTTTTTTTAGAGAAAGCTTATATTTAGCTTTCCACATGTTGTTAGATTTCTACACTACATGAAACACAAGTATATGTACATTGACTAAAAATATTTTGAGAGTGCGTTTTTTTCAATACTTTGGGAATTTAAAACTGTTCTTTGTTCAATATTGAATATTCACACTTTTCTCTTCATCACTATTCAACAATTACGTGCTCGCCCAAATGTCCAATAATTCAAGAAAAAATAAATATAGACCGTTAATTACTCTACAATTAACTTTCATTAATTCAATACTTTTTGGATTCAAAATTGTTCTTTATTTGATATTGAATATTCACATTTTTCCCTTCATCGCTATTCAACAATTACGTACTCCACCCAAATGTACAATAATTCAAGAAAAAATAGATATAAACAGATAATTACTCCACAATTAACTTTCATTAATTCAACCCAAAAAAATTTTAAAATACAGAGAATGTACATTTACTTTGAAAATGTGGGGACAAAATGGAAAATGCTGCCCTCCACAATGTATATTTAAAATGTTGTACATATTTCGGCCTCGCTCCAATATTTTATATATATTACTTTCAGTGTCCAAAAGACCTAACTACTCAATTTATTCTATTCCTTCTGCTGTCAAGACCGAGTCATGCAAAACAAAATACAAGTCTTCTGTGACAGTTAAGTTTAATAAATAAATAACTATATATATATAGAGGCAACCGTCGGTGAGGGGAAAGATTAGTAGTAATACATAATTATATTTATATTAGTTTTTTAGTTACTCGCTAAACTGCGAACAAACCACTATAACATATAAAGTCTAGGATGGCAGGTAAGATTAGTAATAAAAAATTAGATTCCCATTACATATTTTATAGCTTGCAACTTGCTAAAACATTGGCCGACAACTAAACCCTTGTCTCGATGATACTGAAGCGCTAAGAAGAAAATTTACGCCTCTCGTGACTTTAAGAAGAATAGTTATTAAAAAGAAGCTTCCAACTCATCCATTTTATTTTGGTGTACCTTTCACCGTAATTAGATATTAATTTCCTGTTACACTAAATGCAGGGAATGGAGATGGACTGAATTATTATAAAATATATCAAACCTTATCGATATGATTATTCACAAACATAAATAAGTATTTTCCTTTCTACTTGACTTTCTCATCGCTTTCACATTTTCCACGAAATTGCTCATGTATCAAGCACCATATACATATACCAAACCCTCATAGAGAGTGAAGAGCACAAGCTTCTTATTTTCCTTTGTTTTTGTTCCCAATGGCTTCCACGAGCACACACAGTGTGTGTTTGTCTTCTAACCCTATCCCTAGATGGAATTACGATGTTTTCCTGAGCTTCAGAGGTGAAGACACTCGCAAGAACTTTGTGGACCACCTGTTCGATGCTTTGTCCCAGAGAGGAATCTACACCTTCAAAGACGACGAACAACTCAGAAGAGGAGAGGAAATTTCACCAGCACTACTGAAAGCGATCGAAGAATCTAGATTCGCTCTCATAGTTTTCTCCAAAAACTATGCTTCCTCCAAGTGGTGTTTGGATGAACTCGTCAAAATTGTTGAATGCAAGAAGACGATGGGTCAAACAGTGATACCAGTGTTCTATGATGTGGATCCTTCGGAAGTAAGGAAACAAACAGGGATTTTTGGATCAGCCTTTGAGATTCATGAGAAAGATTTCAGTGGGAACATGGAGAAAGTGCAGAGGTGGAAGACTGGCCTGGTGGAAGCAGCAAATATAAGCGGATACAGCGTTCCGGATACAGCAAACGGTAATTACAACAAATTTAGCGCATTCTTATTTCATTCACTTCTCTCGTAATTATATTGTATTTTGGATAATTGAAAAAAAAAAAAAAAAAAAAAGGGTCAACTAGGGAAAAAAAAAAACCCCTACTATCTACATAGTGCAAAAAGGTTCAGTTTGTTATAAAACCCTCCTATATTATTAATTTGGTACAAATAGGTTTGTGATATAAAATGATAATACTCTTACTTCAGTCGAATAAATTAATAACTATAAATACGGCCATGTAAAATGACCCTTTTGTCCAATTTATGTAAAATTGTGTTTGTTTGGGACAAGAATAAAGTAAACCTCAATTTGTATAAAATTGGGAAAAGTTAAACCAAAGAAACCTAAAACTAGATATAATAAAAACCGAAACCAAACAGTCCCTGCTATATAAGACACTTACTGTAGCACTATTTATCCAAAATAAACCTTACTGTAGCTTTACTGTACACTGCTTCTCTATTCCATTAAGAATTTGTTTGGTCGGCAGTAAAGTAAAGACGGACGGACTTGGAGATAGAAACGTAATATATATATATATATATATATATATATATATATATATATATATAATGTTGGAAGTAAACTTGGCTTCTACAGAAGAAGCAAGAAGAGAGAAAAAGGAAAAAAAAATGAGTGCTCTGTATTTGTTTTTGTATTTCTTCGATAAGTGGGTTATACCAATCACCATAAGTATAACCCACTCATAGAAGCAGTGTACAGTAAAGAAAAAAAAAAAAAAAGAGTGTTCTGTATTTGTTTTTGTATTTGTGAGTGATCTCTGCCACCAACAATGGTATCAGAGCAAGGATAGGTGAAAAACAAAGCACCCAAGCCAACAACGCAGAAATTAAACGTGATCAAAATCACATTTTGATCGCAGAATAAGGTCCAAAAGACCAAGACGAACACAAAGCCACATACGACGTTATACGCGCCATCTGAAGTTCTGCGCGTAGATCTTACACGTTGTCACGCGCCACACGCGTCTTCTCCTTCGAAAATCGGATTCTGACGAATTTTCCGACAAGTATCTGGTCACATCTCCGGCGAGCCGAGTTGTTCAGCCAATATTAGCCGAGCTGAGCCATATAAGGGGCTCTAAAGGCCTTGCCCTTTAACACTCCGGCAATACCACCACACTACTTTGGGCTATTAACTATGTGGTTGATAGAAAAAGTATTTGATAGGAGTAATATAATATATATGTATATATATATATATATATATATATATATATATATAATTTGTCAACAGCTGTATGTTATACAATTATATTATTGATAGGAGTAAGTAATATAATAAATATAAATATAATTTGTTAATAGAACCGGTTCGGTTCTTTTGGACTTGGGACCGGAACCGAACCGTAATGCAACGGTACCACAATTTTGGAACCGGAACCGAACCATGAAAGAACCGGTACCGAAGCATTGGTTCGGTTCGGTTTGGTTCCAAATGGTTCTCCGGTTCTACTGGTTCTTTGTGCACCCCTACTGTTTAATCAATCAACGACTTCTATCTATGATGATTGACCCCACCTCCAGTTTCAATTCCTTCGATCCGAGCGGTTTCTTTCTGGCCGGTGCCAAGGAGAACATAAGCAACAACTTTTCTGTCGCAAAGTTGTGTATTATGATGCGATGATGTCTTTAGTTTTAGTTGTGAGACATTTTGATTGGATTTGTAGAGAAATAGATTGAAGGTTTTTAGGTTTTTAGAGGTGAGAGAGAGAATAAGAGGGGGTGGTTGGGAGAGAGAGGGTGGGGAAGTAGTGGTGGTGGCAGAGGGTGGAGAGTGGCGTTGGTGGCAGCAAAGGGTGAAGATTGGCAGCGAGCAGTGATTAGGGTTTTGGAATGGAGGTGGGATTGTTGAGAGATCTTCTCGAGGTGATCGCATATAGGTTCTACCCTAGGTAGCATAGACACGAACACGGGTCAGAGACACGATAAGACACAGATACGTCGACACACTAAATCGTCATGGACATGATACGACACGGATACATCAACACACTAAATCCTGAGAAAGTAGGCATGGATATGGCGACTTTTGACTATATATATGATGTCAATTTTTATTTTTAAAAAAGTTCTGGACTTTAAAATGTGTTCATATGATTTTCAAGATCACAGGCATGCTACTCTACATGTGTTTGTGTATATAAGAAGTGTTAGAAATGTTGGTCAAGTGTCAGGAGACGTGTATGCAAGTGTCGGCGAAGTGTCCAAAATAATAAAATTTAATTTTCAATTATGGACACATACGTAAAGTGCCGGACCGTAAAGTATCGGTGTCGACGTCATGGATACAACTCACTCGTAGAAGTGTTCTGGCTTTCTAGTTTCTACTCGTTAACCTGTTAAAAAGGGTCAATTTCATTTTTTCAATATCATATATTTTTTTTAAGACACGGGTTGGATTATTGTTGGGCCACATCACTTGTGAGGAAAATTTTCATCCCCGTAGGGGAGTACCCAAGTATTGTCCATAGGTTTATAGGCTATTGTATGTGTTGTGGATTATATATATATATACACAAACATATATCCCAAAATTAACATTTTCCCCCTAGTTTACCAAAATTAACATTGCATTTGGTTATATATATATAATTTGTAGTATAATTAAAAGAGAGAAAATAGAGGAGGTGGTGGCAGTGGAGAGGTGAAGAAGAGAGAACATAAGAGGTGTTGGTGGTTGAGTGCAAGAGATGGTGTGACACATACAATAGTTGTATTAGAGATGAGGTAGTTTGGTAATTTTACCACTAATGTGTGTGACGTTTGGTAACTCTGAGCAAGAGATGGTGTCCGTGACACATACAATAGTTGTATAAGAGAGTTGATCAATAAATAAATAAATGGAAATAAAAAAAGTTGAGACTACTTTTATTAATGATTCCCTAGAATCCTATGTAAAATATCATAAAACAAGGCAACTTGCCTAGAATGTCATAAATATTTGTCAATGTGCTTTAGATGTGTAGTTCTTTCAGTTTCTCATTACAATTCTTTTATATTCATGTTGGGGAAGTTCAATAAAAAAAATTAACCAACATTGCATTTATTTATGTTTCTTCATTTCATTATTATTAATTAAAAGTTTTCAACTTACCTCATGGTTGAGATTCTAACTCTACAGGCATGAGTCAAAATGTATCGTACAAATAGTTGAAGAGATTTTCAATAAACTGAATAATAAACTGAATAAACTGGAATCATTGTTGTGTGAAGGGTTGGATGAGGTTCATTTTATAGGAATATGGGGAATGGGGGGAATAGGAAAAACAACTACTGCCAAAGCTGTTTATGACCGGATCTATCATCAGTTTGAGGGTAGCTGCTTTCTCACAAATGTAAGAGAAGTCTCAGAAAGACAAGGTCTGGAAGCTTTACAAAAACAACTCCTATCTGAAATCCTTATAGGGAGTAATATAAAGATAACAGACACTGTTAGAAGAGCAAACATAATAAAATCCAGACTAAGTTTTAAAAGGGTTCTTATCGTTCTTGATGATGTGGATAAACAGAAGCAACTAGATGCAATAGCTGGAGAGCATGGTTGGTTTGGCGTTGGGAGTAGAATCATCATAACAACAAGAGATAAACATTTGCTAACTGCTCATGGAGTGAATGAATGTCACACAGTTGGGGAATTGAATAAAGATGAAGCTATCCAGCTCCTTTCTTGGAAAGCCTTCAAACAAAGTTTTCCTTCTGAAGGTTATTTGGAGCTGTCAAACCGGATAGTAGATTATGCCGGTGGTCTTCCATTAGCTCTTAAAATTTTGGGTTCTTTTCTATATGGTAGAACAACGGATGAATGGAAAAGTGCATTGATAAAGCTGCATAGAATTCCTAACAAAGACATTCTTCAAGTGCTTAAAATCAGTTTCGACGGACTGGATGAAATGGAGAAAGAAATTTTCCTTGACATTGCATGTTTCTTCAAAGGGAAACACCAGTGTTATGTAACAAGAATACTCGACAGTTGCGGCTTCTGCCCTGGGATTGGAATACCTGTTCTTATAGAAAAGTCTCTCATAACTATTTCAAAAGATCAGTTTTGGATGCATGATTTGATACAAGAAATGGGTTGCTATATTGTTCGTCAAGAATCTCAAGAGTCTAGAAAATGTAGCAGATTGTGGCTTCGAGAGGATGTTTGTTATGTGTTGACAGAAAATACAGTACGATAGCTTGTGAAAAATCAGTCATTTTACTAACAGACATTTTATTAATGAAGCCACATTTTGTAATCCTAGTAGACATTGTATACTTTACCTTTTTACTTGTGCTCTCTGTTGTTAGGGGACAGAAAAAATTGAAGCCATATGCTTGGAACTCCCTGAACCAAAAGTTTTTGACCTTAATTCTGAAGCCTTCACAAAGATGAAGAAACTAAGGCTATTCAAAGTCCACAATGTGGTGTTCAGTAAAGGCCCTGCATATCTTCCAAATGAGTTGCGGTTGCTTGATTGGCATGCATACCCTTCAGACTGTCTGCCAGCAAGTTTTCAGGCAGAGAATCTTGTTGAACTGAGGATGTGTTATAGCAGCATTAAACAACTTTGGAAGAAAATAAAGGTATGTTTAATATTATATATTTTTTTTGACTTTATTGAACATACTTTTTGTGTTCATGGGAGCCAGTTATTCTAATACTTTCCATTTGTTTCAACAGCCTATTGTCACGCCCCGCCTATGGAGGTTGTGCCACGCAGGCGACACGCAGACGCTGAGGAGGACGCTGCATGGCAACTGCATGGCAAGTGGAGTTTCTAGAGTCTTCCGAAATAGTCTAGAGTTATGTGGAAGATTCTAGATATGTGTAAAAATGTGTAGAAGTGTGTGGAAGGTTCTAGAGTTCTCCAGAGTTGTGTGGAGTAGTATGGAGAATTCTAGAATGTTGTAGATACTAGTAGATAAGTATGGAAGTGTGAAGAAGGTGGGAGAAGATTCTAGATAATCAATCTCCACCGTTGGTTAGAATGCATCCTAGCCGTCCATTAGGGATGGGGATGCTTATAAATAGAGGTAGGACTTCATTTTGTAGGCAACAAGTCCTAGAGTGAGTCTTGAGAGCCTTGTAGAGAGCTTGAGTGCTAGCCTTGTACAAAGCATTCTTTGGAGTAATAGAAGTGTTCTTTCCTTGCCAACTTAAGTGCCTTAGTGTGTGTGAGTGTGCAAGCCAAGTGAGGAGAGGGCGAGGGCAACTACAACACTAGTAAGCGCACGAGGGGAGTGTGTTGGCTAAGGTGTGCACGGGAGTTAGGCTGACCAAGTACTTGCGAGAGTGAAAGCAACGTCTTGGTGCCGCACGGGAGCAGCTAGAGTGGTGCTGAAACTCTAAGCCCGTGACAGTTGGTATCAGAGCAGGTTCGTCAAGGGAGCTTTGTTGGAGTAGACATGGCTAGCGGAGGAGACCACCAAGTCCACATCTTAGAGCAGAGCTTGGAGGAGAAGCTTGCCACACACTTGGTCTACACGGAGACTAAGTTTAATAGGCTCGAGAGAAGGATGGCGGAGCTCTACGAGCTGATTGATGGCATCGCCAACAAGGCGCAAGAGAAGGAAAGGGACTTGCATGATCTGGTAGACGACTTGCGCGTGGAGATTGCCGAGTGCAAGAAGGAATTCTCCCAGGCGCGCGAGGTCGTGGTGAAGCCAAGGAAGAAGAAGGCGCCGGAGCCCAAGGAGTACGATGGGGCAAGGAATGCGCGCCAGATTGACAACTTCTTCTGGCACATGGAGCGGTACTTCGAGTGCATGGAGATCGAGGATGATGAGGAGAAGGTGCAGACAGGCACTATGTACCTCACGGACACTGCCGCTCTATGGTGGAGGCAGCGTTTCACCGGTAGAGGCGCAAGAGTAGTTGACACATGGGAGGAGTTTAAGAGGCAGCTCAAGAGGCAGTTCTATCCCGAGTGCGTTGAGGACCTCGCCATGATCAACCTAAGGCGCCTGAAGCAGAAGGGCAGCATAAGGGAGTATGTGAAGGAGTACTCCAACTTGATGCTGGAGATCCCAGAGATGCCGGAGCGGCAACGCGTGTGCTTGTTCATTGATGGGTTGCAGTCTTGGGTAGCCACAGAGCTGAGAAGGAGGGAGCCTAGAGACTTGGCATCCGCAATGGCTATAGCGGAGCGCCTTGAAGACTTTAGGCACGATGACAAGAGGGCCACGTCTCCCAGGAGGGACCACGGTAAAGGTGGGGGAGACCGTCGCTTCAAGAAAAGGGGCTCGCCCAAGTCAAGTGATGATGAGCACAGCGATGAGGAGAGACGCCCACGCCATGATAAAGGCAAGGACCATGGAGAGAGGTCTAAGGCTAGTGGCAAAGGGGAGCGCCGCGATAAGGGCAAGTGGGAGCCGAAGTGCTACTTGTGCGAAGGGCCGCACATATTGCGACACTGCCCCAACAAGAAGACCATGAGCGCCCTTGTGAAGGATAAGGGCAAGGGCAGGGTGGACGATGCGGGCAGCGATGAAGATAGGTGCATGGGGGCTATGCAGATGCTGAGTAGCATGGCGCATGACACCAAGAAGAAGGGCAAGGCAAAGAAGGTAGCTGGGGTGCGCTATGTGGATGCGCAGGTTGGTGGCAAAGCCGTGCAAGCGTTGGTAGACACGGGTGCTACACACAACTTCATTACCCCGGAGGAGGCGCAACGACTTGGCTTGGAGATGCGCAAGACGGAGGGCTGGATCAAGGCCGTCAACTCCGAGGAGGCACGCGTGAGTAGAGTGTGCAAGGAGGTGGAGCTATGCATGCAAGGATGGAAGGGCAAGGCTGACTTCCAAGTTGCAGAGATGGACGACCACGACATGGTGCTGGGGCTGGAGTTCATGGACAGGAACAACGCCGCGCCACTACCATGCCTTGGTGCGTTGATGATACTTGGAGGCGAGGAAGGCAAGGCCGCATGTATGGTGCCGCTCGTGGGCAGGAAGGAGAGTTCAGAGGTGGCAGTCAACACGATGGAGCTAGTGAGGATTTCACATCTCCCGAAGGGCGCTCGTACGTTTGGGCCAAGGACATATGCGCAAGTGCTGATGACCTGCGAGAGGCTGGGTCAGCTGAAGAAACCGTGACGAGGGCGTCACGAAAATGGGTGGGGGAGAATGTCACGCCCCGCCTATGGAGGTTGTGCCACGCAGGCGACACGCAGACGCTGAGGAGGACGCTGCATGGCAACTGCATGGCAAGTGGAGTTTCTAGAGTCTTCCGAAATAGTCTAGAGTTATGTGGAAGATTCTAGATATGTGTAAAAATGTGTAGAAGTGTGTGGAAGGTTCTAGAGTTCTCCAGAGTTGTGTGGAGTAGTATGGAGAATTCTAGAATGTTGTAGATACTAGTAGATAAGTATGGAAGTGTGAAGAAGGTGGGAGAAGATTCTAGATAATCAATCTCCACCGTTGGTTAGAATGCATCCTAGCCGTCCATTAGGGATGGGGATGCTTATAAATAGAGGTAGGACTTCATTTTGTAGGCAACAAGTCCTAGAGTGAGTCTTGAGAGCCTTGTAGAGAGCTTGAGTGCTAGCCTTGTACAAAGCATTCTTTGGAGTAATAGAAGTGTTCTTTCCTTGCCAACTTAAGTGCCTTAGTGTGTGTGAGTGTGCAAGCCAAGTGAGGAGAGGGCGAGGGCAACTACAACACTAGTAAGCGCACGAGGGGAGTGTGTTGGCTAAGGTGTGCACGGGAGTTAGGCTGACCAAGTACTTGCGAGAGTGAAAGCAACGTCTTGGTGCCGCACGGGAGCAGCTAGAGTGGTGCTGAAACTCTAAGCCCGTGACACTATGGCCAAGTTGAAAGTCATCAATCTTAGTCACTCCCATAGGCTATCCAGGACCCCGGACTTCACAGTTATTCCGAATCTGGAAACACTAATTCTTGAGGATTGTACGAGTTTGGTAGAGGTTCACCCATCCATTGGAGTTTTCAATAGGCTTGTCGTTCTAAGTTTGAAAGACTGCAAAAATCTGAAGAGATTTCCAAATGGTATTCACTTGAAATCTCTTGAGACTTTTATTCTATCAGGCTGCTTGAAATTAGAAAAGTGTCCCGAAATCTTGGGGGATATGGTATGTTTATCAGAACTTTATTTGGGTAGAACTTCCATAAAAGAACTGCCATCATCAATTGAACGTCTCACTATCACATGCCTTTGCCATGTCATGCTTAACTGCCATAAACTTATTTTCCTCCCCCTTCTAGTTTTAAAAATGCACCACTTCTTGTGCATTAAGTATTTTATCAGTGATCAACCTTTCTGGAATTAAAGCACTCTGCTCCTCACTAATGATATGAGTGAACAGTGGTTTGAGCTTATTAGCCAATATCTTAGCGAAGAGTCTAACAAATACATTGCACAATGAAATGGGCCTAAATTGGGTAATTATCGTTGGCACTTTCACTTTTGGATCTAACACAATATTGGTTGAATTTAAACTTTTAAGCAACTGACCATGCAATAAAAAATCATTGAAGGCATTTATCAGGTCATCTTCACCACCCTCCAATTCTGCTGAAAGAAAATTGGAGTCATTCCATCTGGCCCAGGAGCTTTTAATGGTACCATGTCCATAAGAGCTTGATACACTTCAACTTCATAAGCTTCCCTCAATAGTTGGTGATTCATTTCATTTGTAATTCTGGGTTCCCACAGGCTCCAAAAATCATCATCATTCACTGTTCCTGTTGAAGTAAACAAATTTTGAAAATAATGCTCAGCTTCTCCTCGAATTTCCTGATCTGAATCAACCCAATGACCTTGAGTATTCTCCAGCCCCTTAATTACATTTCTACTACTTCGTCTCATAGTGGCTGCATGAAAAAATCTGGAATTTGTATCTCCAAGTAACAGCCACTCTTTTCTGGATTTTTGTCGCCAAAACTGCTCTTCCTTTTTCCATACAGCATTTATTTCTTTCTATAATCTAGAACACTCCCCTGCCTTGTAGTCAATCTCATTTTCCTTTGCCTCCTTCAGGCGAGTCTCCAACTGTTTAATTTCCACCTGGGAATTCCAATTTTTCAGCCGACTCCACTTGCTCAGTTCAAACTTACAATTTCTCCTTAAGCTTATATTGTAAAGTACCATGTCCCCTTGAACGCCAAGTTTGTTCAACAACTTTACTGAATTTCTCATCTTTTAACCATCTTGCATCAAATTTGAAAGTCTTCCTTTTAGGCCCCTATTTCCATGACAAATCAAGCATAATAGCTGCATGGTCCAACCCTACCACAATTAAATGTTGCACTGCTGTACCAGGAAAATGAACCCTCCAATCAATAGTTGCAAGTGCTCAATCCAACCTTTCCTTCACATTCGCCTGCCCATCCCGATTATTGCACCAGGTAAACGGATATCCCAAATACCAAATTCCAGCTTTCCACCATCTCTCTAAAATAAGTGTGTATGTTATACACATATACTTTCCATTGGTATATGTGTATATATATGTATGTGTGTGTCTGTTGAATTCTATATCCATAAAAAGTAAAAACTACAAAAATAAATATGTATTTTCGGGTTTTCTTTTTCCCGCTAAGTAACATTAAAGGGTTAATTTGTATTTTTACACTGATTAGTAGGGATAGTTGAGTTAATTCAATTCATTAAAGGGCAATTTTGGTATTTTTAAAAAAATTGTGACATTGACTGCGTTTTCATAAAACCTTGAGGGAGGTTGACTCAATTTTTTTTCAAAACTCTCATCTGATGGTGATTACTCCAAACCTTAGGGGAGGTAAGAGTAATTTACCCTAAAAGGAAAGTAAAATAAGAAGGGGAATAAATCAAAATAGCATACACCAAAAACTATAAGTTGTCTATTTGTAGCAATTGTACGCATGCCTAGAATGATTTAATATATGAATAGTAAATTATTTTTTCTTCATATGTTTGAAATCCTCCTTTACAAATACTTTTTCTTCATGTCACTTGAACTCAATTATCTCTTATCTGAAATCAATTTACATTTGAATTTCTGGATCAACATTTGGATAGACTTTTTGAATTTGTTTATTCTATCCAAAAGCATGCCATTCTATCATCATTTTTTTAAAATTTCCAAGTGGTATTTCAAACTCAACAGGTATATAAAACGTTCTTTACAATTCTTTAAGGTTCACAGGCAAAAAACACCATTATGGTATGTATATAGAGTGTATAACCTATACGTTCTAAAAAGTCCCTAACATTCAATTTTGGAGCAAACAAGGATTTGAATGTTGAAAACAATAATATGTCCCTCTATAACTGAATAAAAAATAGGTAAAAAATTAATTAAATGTGAAATGACTAAACTGTCCGTCTTTTCCTTTTGGTTTTTTCTTCATCATCACTTTCGCTGGCAACGAAGCCAATTGCCGCCTGCACCGACCAGACCAGGTTGTTACCGACTTTATCTCATTTGGTGAGGTCACTAGACTTTGCAGCGGCCTGGTTGGTAGTTGGATCAAATTGGGTTGGGTTGGAACCTGGTAAATGATGCGTAAAGAGTCCAAAGTGTAACGACCAAAATCCATTGGATCTGGATCATTATATGGGTCCTTACCCGACCCAAAATTATCCAAGGGTAATATGGTCCTTTCACGTTAAATTTGTAAATTAAAGTCCAACAAGGACAAGATGGTTATTTATCACAATTCTAATGGTATGAGACTCAAAGGACAAAATAGTCATTTACTTGTATCACATAATAAATAAAATAAAGTCCGGGGCAATATAGTCATTCCTATCGCTAAAATATAATTATTGTATTTTACTGGACCTTATAATGTGTAACAATACACCTGAGTGAGTGGTCAAGGGCAAAATAGGAAAATAAGTCACAAATGTTTACTACACAGGAACCGGTCGATGTATGGGATGTCACACGTCAACTGGTTTGGGATGTATACAGTAAAAAAGCCAACTATCATGATACCAGTTGACGTATGGAAGGTTACACGTCGACTGGTTCAAGACTTGTACAGTGAATATGCTCACTGCCAAGATACCGGTCGATGTGTGGGAAATTCACGTCAACTGGTTCAGGTCATTCGGTTGACGTATGGGATTTTACGTCAACTGGTTTGGGTTATCCACACTCAATTACTCACTGTCCAAAGAAAACTAAAATATACCAACATTTGATAACCAACCACCCACGCCACTATACTCATGTACATATTTAAATACATTTTAACATCTAATACCTTAACAACAATTAACATAATTTACAACATGTTACATAAAATACACTAAATAATTTAGTGTAATTAAACATAATTACATTTCTCCAATGGCCATATACAAAATGTATCTAAATACATCACATGTTGCAAAATAATACATTTTGAGTCAACAATATGCAAAATTAAGCCCAAATACAAAAGATAGCAATAAGAGACATTTTCCTACTCCAAGCTAAGGCCGGAGTGGATTGACGTCCGCCACTTCTTTTCTTGAACCTGAAAATGTTAAAATAATGGGGTGAGCTAAACGCTCAGTAGGAAGTGTCTAAGACACACCTCTTGTGACCCCATGAATCCACGTATAGAATAGAAAAGCAAGAGAACGGGGTCATACAACTCCGGGGATGTGAACCATAACCACAACATCCATTATAAACATAATTGTCATCCAAGTCACAATAACACCATGTATGCCAATGAAGTGCAATGTTATGCACATGTCGCTCCCCGTTTCTGAAACATTGCCGTTTCAACCTCCAAATCGTCAGTGTAATCTGACCCAAGGCACCTCCATGGCGTCACAAGAGGAGGATTGGCTAATTATCCACGACCACAAGGCACCTCCTAGGCGTCGTATCCAGCCTAGTTAGCTCAACCATACTCCCCTCTAGACTACACTAACACCACGGACCACTAGGCGCCTCCTAGGCGTTCGGTTTTCGCAAACACTTTTCAAAATATTTTCGCAAAATCATTTCATTTGTTTTCAAAACAATGTTTTCCCTTATTCCTTGCCCAATGCTATGCATGAATGCATCATGCTTTTCAACAATATCATAAAGGGGAATCACATACCACACAAGTCATGTGTTCACAATATAGCAAGCTTTGTAAGAAATTTCTACTAATAACTAACATGTCTCTATATAAAAAATCTAGCAAATCCAACATAATAGGTATAGAAATTCACCACTTGAACATGCTTTCTCATACAACATCAATTAGTTCACATAATTGCATGTTTCAATTCAAAAGAAAAATTCTATAAATATACCTCATGCTTTCTAATCACAAAATTCATCACTTATAACATAATAGGCATGAAGATATCTCCATTTAAACATAGTTCTTCATCACATATCAACTTAGCATGGAAATGCATCTCATACACAACCTATAGCAAAATTTGCATGAAATATACACAAATTAATCATATAATAATACAAATTATAAGGAATTGACTCACAAAAATCCAAGACGTTGTGGATTAGAAACCCCTACCTCAAGCTAGATGAAAATCCCCAATTTTTGCCCTAGAATTTTGAAATTTCAAGCTTAGCCAAACAAGAAATTGTTTACATTAACGTGAAGGTCTCGCCGAGCTCTTCAAATTGCTGCAAATGGCTTCCAAAAATTCCAAGTAGTGAAGGAGGAATCAAGTTCTAAAGTTTTGATTCAAAAAGAAAAAGTAAAGTAAAGGGGGTGAGAGAGAGAACCAGCGGGGAGAGAGAAAGGGAAGCAAGAAATGAGGCCTAAATGCCTCTTGGTTCAATCTTTAACATGATATGTGGGCCCCACCAAAAATTAAATTTATTTTCCCTTTTATTTTTAGTCTCATTATACACTATATATATATACTTATACAAATTAATTCACAATCACTTAAAACACATTAAATAAAATAAATATGATGCAAATGAATCCAACTAAGATCCCCGGATGCAACAATTCTGGTAGCGGGTCCCACACAAAACCGTCCAGCCCGAAAAACGAAAAAAATGCAAAAATGACAACTTTGGCATTTTAAAGAGCCCTGCACTCAATGAAATGTCCCAACCAACTCTCGGACACAACCGGTACACCCCACAGTGTCCGGCACGTAAAACGAGAAAAGACAAAATGCCCTTGTATGGACAAAAAATTTCAGAATTTGGAAAATGACGAAAATTAGACACGTTACAGTTGTAATCTCCTATTTTTCGTATGATAAAATATTTTATCCATGTAAAACTTATGCGTCTTATATTGTCCGTGTTTATTTTATGTCTTGTTTCTTGATTGTGATCTTGATTTCGTGGTGTTTGTCTCGATGATAATG